TTATAAGCCTCTGGGAAAACCTGTCAAAAGACCCAGATCTAAAATGTTGTTTCCTAGATACACAGTGTTTTCTGCAGGAGGGCTTAGTGAATTTTACACAAAAAAGGTTGCTGCATTCCATCTTTCCCTCATAAACAAAAATAATTATACTAACAGTTTTATTTTAATTTTGTTGTTGTTGTTGTCTAATTCTTGGGAGCAAAATGTTGTCATGAGGCAAGTCTGAGATTGGGGTGTAAAAATCCTGGTTTTAGTCCCAACTGGTTACTTTGACCAGCGGTAGACAAGGTGAGGAGACCCAAATCTGCCCAGCCATTGCAGAGGACTGGTGTCCCACCAATGGAGCCAAGAGCTACTATGCTTGTTAAGCAGTAACAACCAATATAAGGTCTTTGAAAAAAAAAAACTGTATTTAAAATCCATTTTGAATGGCTTTACTTCAATGGTCAAACTTGCAGGAGAGTAGGGCAGGCATAGTGTTTTGATGGAGCCTCACTGCAGCGCGGTTCACACACTCCACACGGAAAGTCCTTTAATGGCACAACCTTCTTGGAATAGAGTCCCAAAGGGTTGAGCTCATATTAAAATCTCTCAGATGAGAAGAATTACAGCAAGGTTACAATATAATTAACCTGAGTTATCTTGCTGATATATATTCTGACACTTCAGACTATACTCATGCTGTGATTTTTAAAATTAGCAAAAAGGAAGTTTTCATATCCATTCAAACTAAAAGAATAAAAAGAGTCTTTGCATAAAAAGAAAGAGATGGTCAATTCTTTCAATTATTTTTTAATGTTATTCTTATAACGGTGTTTTGGGTTTTTTTAATGGCTGCTCTGTATGGCAAAGCCTTATTCCGTCCACTTCCTAGAATCTGCAGAAAAGTCTGTGTGATTCTTTTTTAAAGATCATGGCGATTCCCTTCACTGCTTCGAGAAAGAGAAAAAAAAAAAGCAAAATCAGGGATATTATCCTGTGTTTATAACAAGTCTATTACCATAGTAACAATTGTGATGTCACAAACCCTACACCAAGGGCCAAATTCTGTCTCTGAGAAGGGAAGGACAGCTTAGCTTCAGAAAGCAGATGAAATTGGATGCAAACATGTGCGGCCAAAAGACAGTCAATGCTTGTGGTAATGGTCTAAGCACAGGGAGTTTCCCTGCTCTGAAGAAAGGGAGGGCAGAAACAGAAAAGCTACACCCACACTTCTGTATGCAGCTGTGCAAGAGGAGAGTGGAAATCCAAGAGAGTGTGGTATCATCATGTTCCCAATCGCGAGTATTCTACTGGGCCCACTGCCTGCCAGACATGGATGGGGCTCAGTGTAAGCCCGCCCGAGCACATAAAACTCACTCTGAAAACAGTGTCTGACAAACTAGAGCCTCTGGTACCTCAATGAAGAAGCAGCTTGCCTTATGATGGCAATCACTTGCAAACCAAACTGGGGTTTTACCCCTACTATGTCATTCCAGTTCATAGAACCACGGATTCTCAGGGTTAGAGAACTCATCAAGTCTCCCAAAAGACTCTAGAAAATAACCTTCTGCAGGAATAAGTTGCATCCCTTGTCACTGGAGAATGCGAAATAGCAAATTATTAGGTATTCTTATTCTGATAAAGTCTTGGGAAGTTTTGTACAAATATGATGAAAACACAACTTTATATTAAAAAGAATATTGAATTAGGAGAAGACCTTAGTACTAGTCTTGGCCGAAGTACTCAGAAACCACAACCTTGGAAAGCCATTTAATCTATTTGAGCTTCAGGTCTTTATTTAATAATATCGAACATGCTAATTCCCAGGGTTATTGTAAAGATCAAATTAAATAAAATACTGAGTGTGAATGAGTTTCACCAACTATAAAGGATTTAATACAAACACAGGTATTATTATTAGCATTTTCACATAGCCAGTTTACAGTACAACAGTAATTTGAACACTAATAGTTATTTGCTTTCCAAGAATCCAAAGCATACATATGATCCTCGTCTATCCTATCCCAAGAGGTGAACACTTGCATGATACAGTCAACTCGAAATTATTTGGGGGCTGATTATTGAGGGGCCTTTTGCTTCTAGCCATTTCTATCATTTATTAGTTGCCCTCAAGAATGCCATGTTAACCTACATATGGCTAGAAAACTGACAGCAAGTGTGCCTCAACTCTATTACCTTGAATAATAACTAGTAAGAGTTTTAGCAAAAGGAAGAATTGAAATGATTAACTAGACAGAAGTTTTGAGATAACTGGTGGACTTTACTTATCCATGGATAATTACCCACATCACTGTCTGGGAGGCTATGGCCAAGGTCCGACAGGTTGGGACTAATTCAGACAAATTATAAGCATTTTCTCGGTGAACAACAAAGTAGGTGTACTGTCTTACGTATGTGCAATAAAAATTTGAATAGCAGTCATTCATTCAGTGATAAAGTATCTACTATGTGCCAGAACTCACCACATACCCTGAAAACTCTCAAATTTTCCTGCCCTTGTTACTGTCCTTCGTGATAGTCCACAAAGCACCTTGACAGACAGAGGCTCACAGCCTGACTCTCAGAAACTCTATTCACCTTTCAGTTATCATGAAACTTTTGCCAATTTTACCCTAATGCAATGGTTAGCAAGTTATGGTCCCTAGGCCAAACCCTGCTTGCTGCCTTTTTTGTAAATAAAGTTTTATTGGAACACGGCCATGCCCACTTGTTTATGTATTTTGTATGGCTGTTTTCCTGCTACCACAGCAGAGTTCAGTAGTTGTAATAGAGACAGCAGGGCTCCAAAGCCTAAAATACTACCTGGCCCTTTACAGGAAAAGTTTGCTGATCCCTGAACTATAAAATATGACAAAATCAAAATTCATGTCTCCTATAAAAATTTCTTATTAGGAACTAATAGAGTAAGCTCCTTGAAAGCATAGAACCTTTCTATATCTTTGTTTTGTTATATAGATGCCTTGGGTAGGATCAAGTTAAGGTTTACAGCAGATACAGAAAATTAAACACATCCTTCCCTACATTTTGTTTTGGAGTTAACATGGAAGACAGCATAAAACCACTGGTGTTTGGTTACTCTGGCTTCTAATTCCTCAGAGTTCCTATGTCTAAAACTTCCAAGGCTTAATTTTTGGCCTCCATCCCTTTGCATATTTATTTCCTGATCTGATGTGGAATTAGAATTAAATAGAAGCTGTGTGCTTGAATTCCACGTGGCTTGCTCCGCAGGAAACTCCAAGGCAGGTTTTTTGGCATGCCAAACTCATGTTAGCTTCAGCTATGCTAATTTCCAAAGCTGTTTGCTTTGCTCAAATAAATCTTAGAGGGGAATTTGCATTTGGGTGCACACCTTTTTATGCACAAATTATGTGCATGGTAACTCTAGGGCAGATTAAGGACTGAAAAAAAGAAAAACGTATAGTGTTTACTGAATGTCTTTTGTATGGCAGGCACCATGCTAGGTAGTTTTACAGACATTTTTTCATCTCATGGACACAACGATCCCCTGAGGTAGAACTGTGATGCCCATTTTTACGCAGAGTAAAACTGAGGAGAAGAGAGCTTACGCAATTTGTCCACATTCATAGAGCTGGTAAGTGACCAAGCTTAGATTTGAGCCTAAGCTATCTGAATCTGAAGGCTGTGTTCTTTTTACTTAGTCACACTGACTTAAAGACACCCTCATCATCATCACCACTCACCTAAGCTACTAGACAAACATTCTAACGTAAACCCTACATTTACAAAATCAGTCACCCCTCTTCTCTCCAGTTGGCCTATGTAAAATAGGTCTATGTAAAATATCCCTTGGGAGATAAATTTAGGCCCCTATGCATCACAAAACAATCAAAGAAGAATGGGGCATAAAAAAGGCAAACTTTATATGATACAGAAGCTATGTTAGTAATTAGTCGACAGACACAATTACAAGTGATTTTAACAGGTAAACGGATTTCAGTATGAAAGGATACTTTTACTGCTAAAATGTAGTAGGCCAAACGAGAAAATGTGCCCATACCATAAAAGATATGTTAGTAACACTTAGAATATGGTATAAATATGTCTATAACATGAGCCCAGGGATTTATATCTAATATCTTCACAATTTAAGGAAACATAAGAAAACACCTACCTTCCCTAAAAAAAAGGTCATTAGCTTTAGTAAGTTATAATAAGTAATGCTGTCAAAACTCAGTATTCATCATTATTCAATTCAATATACAGAAAAATGACCCGTGTAGCAATTAAGCATTCTAACATAATTCCAACATTTTAAAACAACCCAGATCCAATATTACTGAACTTCTTTCTCTGTGTAGAACATATCTGGAACCTAGCCTACAATATCACATCATGCTCAGCCCACTGCCATCAAGCTTAATACACTGCCATCTAATTCTCTGGAAATATAAAAGAACTGATAACTTTTTCAGGCAAGTGAAATTCAGATCTCCATTTTTTTAAAAAAAGCCTCGAAAGCTTTCCAGGAATTAGAAAGAACTCTATGGCAGAGATAGGTAATCTAGGTTGTTTCTTAAGTGGATTTAGAAGAAGGTACATTGAAGAACAAATCTGCCACACATCCTTTACCAAACTGCCCCTTCTTTTAGAAATGAGATCAGGTCCTCATGACAGCACCACTCAGATCAACCATGCTTACTTTTCTTCTTGCTAACCAGGTAGTACATATCTTATATTTTTAATTATTTCACCCTTTTTATTTTAAACAGATGATTTCAGATGAGGAAAATGACTTTTTTATAGCCAGTGATAGAAAAAGATTATTGTCAGTTAAAGTTTACAGCCTAAGCAGTAGATTGGGGAATTTGCTTAATACTGTGACACTCCTTTAAAAAATACATGCACTAACATTTCTCATCTACAAAGTTTCTAAAATAGTCTTTTCCAAAATTTACTTGAGCTTAATAATTATTCAAAAGATAGTTAAAACAACTTTCTATGAATCATTATTGTTGGAAACCCCAGTAGTGCCTTACCTGCTGGTGGCTTTATGAAAGGTGGTGGAATTAAAGGTACAATAATGGGCACATTGCCATGATCCTTTGACCCTGCAGGTGAGTCACTGAGTCCATTTCCTGTGGCAAGCCCTGAATAGCCTGTGCTTATATTGTATGGTGAAATAACACTGTCCTCAGGTAATTTTGGTTTTGGCAAAGAATTTTCTGTAAAAGAAAAAAATCACACTCAGTATGACAAAAGGACTTATTTTCCTTATGACCCCATTTTCTCAAGTAAAATGGCTATGTAACATAAATCTTTCCTTGCAAATCTTTAAACACTTTACCAGAACTTCACAGATCATCCTGAACCTTTTGAGGTTTCTTACCATAAATTTCCAATAGGCTCCTTTATAATTTGCTCCACTGTGATAGCTAACATCCCAATTGTATCATGATGATAAATTTTAGCATTATAAAAGCCCATAGACAATTGAGAAGCAATTAACCTTTTCCACGTACAGAGTGATATACACCAGGCGTCACTCTGTGGCTACACTAAGGGGAAAGCTTAAAAAGCACCCCCCCACACACACCCAGCACTGCAACTAGGACCCATTGTATTATAAATTTGGGTCATAAAATCAGCAAAAGAACCAATAAGACAGAAACAAAGGATCAGAAAGAAAACTGTTGTTTCATGGAGTAGACCCATTAAATTAACCTATTAATATCCATTAAAAATTAACAAAAAAGAAAATAAAGAAAATTCACAATACGTGAACTTTGTGTATTTTATCCTTGTATATCAATCATTAAAAAAAACTCAACCACAGAAAACAACTTTTTTCCTCTAGTAGCATATCCTGGCACTCATGTTCCCCAGAGGCAAAGATTATTACCTAGACCAAGTATTATTTGAGCTATTAGTTTATAGAATATAAATTCATAACTTGCATTTTTCATTAACAGTGAAATTGATGATACTATCTCTGTAACATGATGTGTACCGTTTCATAGCAAGCTAACATAAAATTTGTCACGTACGTTCAATTCCACATGCCTGCAGGACAGTTCATTTACATTTCGTGGCTTGGCATATAAGAAGGAAAAGCGCTATCTTAGAGAGACTGGAAATAAAATGCATGAACAGGTAGTTTACGCCAATAGATTTTGAATGCAATGCAAATACTGATCAAATTGCCAATAATGACACACCATTAGTTTTACCCACATTTTATTAAAGTTCCCCAAATAGGTTGCTTCTTCACATACTCTTCTTCTTTTCTTGGACAATCAAACTCGTTTCAAATTTAGGTTCATAAATTCAGTATCCACACCAACGCCCACCAATGGTTCTAAGCTCCCCTCATGAGATATCCCGCACTGCTACCACTGGTAGAATCAGTGTTAATTCAACTCTTCCTCTAATTTCCACTCTTTAGCTGGGCTTTAACAAAACTTCTTAGAGAAATATATAGGATCCAATCATCCACTACTTTCTTACCCCTCTGCTTACCCTATCCAAGGGTGTGGGGATGGGGGAAGGGTAAGAACTTCAAACACAAAACAGAAATAAGACTTTCCTTTAAAATTCCCACCATAAAAAGAGGGGAAGGGAGAATTACCAAGATAACTATGATTCTCTCTTGCAGTCTCAAAATCTAAACCTAACATTTCACTTAACAGAAAGCACCAGTCCCCAAAAATTGATATACCAAAAGGCTAAGGAAATTAGAGAAGAAGCTAGCAAACATTGTCCCTTTCTATAAATTTGTGGGCAGGTCTACAGCATTTAAAGTCCTAGCCCTTGTCTAGCTAGTTCTCCCATTGCTGGAAGATTAAGCTGTGTTTATTTTTATTTTATGTTATGCTCTTATATTCTGTGGAATTCTGCTTGTGGGAAAGCACTACTGAGGATGTAAATCAACCATTAGCATAATCAACAAAATGAGTCCCAAAGCAACTCAATTCTGGCAGGCTGAGATAGTTAATCCTTCTTGGCATGAACAAAGGGACGTTAAATGTCATTACCTTTGAGAACAGAAATGTGCTGCCGGCTCTCTCCATCTGTAGGGTAGCTCCTGAATTCAATATCTTCACCATCTTTTAATTCAACCTTATCATAGCCATACCAGCCAAGGAGTTCATTCATGGTGTTTTCTGCAAAGTTCTGAAAGAGAAGCATAGGCTACTTATTAACATAATCAATAACTATTTGAAAAGAATGCATAAATCAAATTCTATATGCACTATCCATTTACTGCCAGCCCTACCCACCCCCCACCCCCGAGAGTCATGTTCAATTTTCAAATCACATTCAAAACTTGTACAGCATTTAAATCTCAGGATGACGTATCCAATGATGATAGGCCTTCAAACATTTGCAATTTAAAGATAATAAGAAAAAAAGTATTTGTCAGTTTTGCTTACGAACAGAAAATCAATTTTAGCGTATTCTACAAAGTCTACCTCACACTAATACAAAAATATTGAAAGCACAAAAACACCTAAGAAAAGATTTTGAAAATAAAAACAATTAATTGACCCTTTTGTGGCTCAGATTAATTTATATTAGAATTGCTTTCTGAGTCAGATGCTGTTTCTTAACATGAACCTCATCTCAGATAAAGCAAAATCTCAGCAAAGCAATTATTTGTCAACCACTACCACACAGAAAGCTGAATAGCTACAAGGGTCTCCCTTTTTGATTTTCTCTTTTGCAAGAGTATTCTTTAAAAATCAATAAATAATTTGCTTTACAAATTTCTCCATGAAAAAAAAAAAAATTTCTCCATGAAATCAAAAGTCCCTATGTTGTTTTCTGACATGTAACATAAAAGTACCAAATAAGTTTAAAGTTACTAGCCAGCCCAGATTTTGGATAATGCATGAAAACACTTTATGAACTATAAATCATTGGATAAATATAACGTATTGTTGTTGTTATTACAGATATAAAACTGTGAAAATAAGGACATGGTTGGACAGATTTAAAGCCTTATATCAAGCGACTATTTTTTATGAATTTATCGACTGCTAGATCTGGAAGCAAGATGTGAGAGTGTTTATTAATGATCTTAATGCTTGCATGTGCCTTAAAGCATCTTTCTCTGAGAAACAGAGAAGAGAGTGGTGGTTAACAAGAGTGGGGGGGCGGGGGGAATGGGAAGACATTGGTCAAAGAGTACAAACTTCCAGTTATAAGATTAACAATTCAGTGGCCTAATTTACAGCGTGGTGATTATAGATAATAATAGTGTACCACATACTTGAATGTTGCTAAGAGAGTAGATCTTACATGCTCTCACCACAAAAAAGAAATGGCATAGTCAACTTGTGATGCGATGGAGATAGTTGCTAATGCTATGATGGTAATAATTTTGCAACCTATAAACATATCAAATCAACATGTTGTACACCTTAAACTTACACAATGTTATATGTAAATAATATCTCAATAAAGCGGGGGGGGGACTAAATAAAAAGAAGGGACCTACACTACAGACTAAGAGCTTAATAAATGTTTAATTATTTTTTTAAAAGCATCTCTATCTGGCAAGGCAGTCTGAGACTCCTAGACTGAGCTAGAAAAACTATATATTAACCTCTCTGGCTCAAAGAATCTTTTCTCATTTTCCCTGGAAGTTATATTTCTGAATTACACTGGGATGTATAATTTATATACATGAAACAAAGCACCTAGGTTAAACCGGAGTGCTCACAGCCTCAACATGTGAATTCCATGTTCTCTTAAATTTCACAACTTCAGATTTCAGCAGGGGTTGCATTAAAAAATATATAGATATATATTACACTATTGACTCCACAAAAACAAATCTGTCATTTCAAACCACCCACAGGATGCTGCATTTTTTGCTTTAGTGCCCACTTAAGTTTAGAGCTCCAACTGGCTTTGTGATGCTATAGTGCACAAGTAATTTTTTAAAATCTAACCAGATTGATTCAGTGTTAATCATCCGTAAGGCCAATAGCCAGTCATATCAAGTTTTAGTGAGGCATTTATTCTCTCTGATGGCTGGTCATATCTACATTAAATAGACACTCTTTTCATGAACGCACAAATATGATATGATCAATATATATAATAAGCTCAGCAACTTCTGGAATACCACTGAGGAGATCTCAGCTAAATGCTGCTCTACTCAATCAAAAGAGATCCCTTTAATGAGGCATCAGTGTCCCCTAACACTCAATTTCTTTTCACTGAGCTGAGTGAGTGCCTGGAATGGAGAATGAAAGCCCCTAAGCACACAAATAGAGGTCCTCCATCAGTGGTCTGGCAGCAGAAATCTCCAAAGATAAGGATTATACCTTGCATCAAACAAACAAACAAACAAAAAATTCAAAGTGTTAAAAGCCAAGTTTAAGCCATCCTATTGGTTTGTGTGCTGTTAGCCCAGATCTCTAAGAGAATGGCGCCAACAAGAGAGAAAATCTGCATAGTAACTTCTGGCCACATCCAATTTTCTAGACCATTTGTATCTGGGTGCCTGTCTCTCCAGTTGTGTCTAACCTCTGAAGTAACCTCTGAAGAAAGGCTACAGATGCATAATTCATGGAGCAACCTCCCAGCCAAAGATATAGATTTGTTTGTTTTAGTCTAGCTGCAAATCCATTCGGCCTTTCAGAACCAATCCCAGGAATGGAATCCAGAAGTTTCACACATTTGAATAAAAATTGAAACTTCAACTGGATTATTAACACCAAATTCATATTATTTGGGCACCTTAACTGCATCACTTAGTTTATGGTTTATGCTGAAAACGCAGACACTTCATGGAACAATCAATATGAACTTGATCTATTCCATGATTTTCGAGTCACTATAAATGTCAGTGAAAATAAACTCTGAAATATTCCCTTTCTTGTCATTGAAAATAAAATAAAATCCTTAATGTTTTGATATATGACTGCAAAAGTAGAAAACAAAAGATTTATAAAGCCTCAAGCCATAAATCGCAAACCTTTCATCAAAGGATGAACAAGTTGAAAGAAACAGAAAATGAACAACGAAGTTTCTTATAGTGTTAGTAAAAGAGACTATTACCTCTGACTTACACGCTATTGGATTAAGAAATCAAAGAATGCCAAGGCATAAATAATTTAAACTTTTCAATTTTTAGGTAGAATTAGATGCTAGATATCCCATGGACTGATTACAGTGTGAAACCAAAGGAAATGAAATACATTTTTGCAGTTATCATCCAAGAAACAGGACATATTCTAGGATAAATGAATTTAATGTTTATGGCCCATAAGGATTTTAAGTTCTTCTGGTAGAGTAGTCAAACAGATAGTTTTTTCAACATTTTTAGTATTGTCATCCTTTAAAAAAGTTTTCCATTAAAAGAATTATTTCTTTCCTATATAAATTTCTTCTGTAAGTCACATTTTTTTAAAGGTTAAAATGCAAAGAGATTCCGAGGTAAGAGTGCTCAATAATAAAATAAGCTACTGTACTAAGAGAGGTTGTAAAACTTGCTTTCCCCACAAATCTTCACCCAGCATTTGTCCTGAAACCTTAGGACAGGAAACTGAAGTAGAGAGTCTCTTAAAGTCCCTCCAAACTCTAAGATTTTGTGAAACCAACGAACTTCTACTAATACAAGAAATAAAATACCTTTTGCAAAGAAATATCATAATTATAGTGATCGCACATCATAAATTTTACTAAACAGCCACTATTTCAAATATTTTATCATTGCTCCCATAAACCATCAGAATGTGCCAGAAATTTTAATATTCTGGCATCTGAATCACATTTTGCAGACTGCCTCTCGCCCTTGGAAGTGGCACAAAAATCCTCTCTCATACCATGTGGTCCAATTTGGGTTTGGAAAATAGGTCACTATAATTATAATGATAATGTCTAACACTCTTATAGCACTCGACAGTGTTTCCATATCCTTTAACTCTTGTTTCTTTCAATAACCCTATGAATTAGATATTTGATTTCCACAATAAACTTTTGGTGAACCTTTGTAACATCCTCATTTTACATAAGAAATTAGAGCATCCAGAAGGTAAATGATAGGCATGAGAGATCACCCAGTAAAGTCAGAACAAAAATACAGATTTTCTGACTCCTACATCAGGCAACTTTATATTATAAATTCTGTAAGGTCCAAGGTGTTGGCAATTCCAAAGAAGCTATCTCCTTGGACCAATCAAAGAGTTGCAAAGAAATCATACCACAGGATGCCAACATCATACGTAAAGAGCTGTCCAAATGTCAAGGTTCAATATAAACAATTTTTAATTTAACGTTTTTCCCAGGTAAACAGAGTTGTCTTCGAGGCACTTTGAAAATAGCAATTATTACAAATTCTCAAAACACCTCTGAAATGCAAGTACTTCAAGGTCTTCAAAAAGGACTAATGATTTTATTTTGAAAACAGCAAACAGATTTTAAACTATAGATAGGTTATCACTGATTTCTTTCATCTCAGGCCTTGCATAACTGCATATCAAAGTGTTTTCAACTTTGTATCCTACCCAAGAGCAGAAAGTTTTCAAAGAGCTCCCAACCATTCAGTGAAATGTGGGAAAAGCCATGTCCTCCTCCCCACAAACATAATTCACATTTTCACTCCAACTCCCAGTTCTAGCGAAATATGTCATCTATCCCAGATACACTCTAAGTTACTTGAGGAAGAAATCTTTTATTTCATTTTATGTCTCATCTAGCACAATATCTAGCATTCAAAATATACTTAAGAAATGTGTGAATTCATTTGACTATATTCACAAATATCAAAAAAAGTATAAACCCAGAGAAATGATCAAACAAAATTTATGAAAACTGATTTAAAAAATAAATATATGCACATTAAATTATAATATCCAGCATTAATGAGCACTCTCATAGTATTGGGAATTTAAGTTGATACAACTCTTAGAAAAGGCAACTTGACTATGTATTAAAAGCTTTAAAAATGTATATACTCCTTAATTCAGTAATATTATTTCTAGACATTATAGAAACTATTCTAAGGAAATAGTGCAAAAATATGCATGTTCAGGAATACTTATCTCTGTTATTTTCTTAGAAACAAACTGTGTCAATAAAAATTTGGTTAATTTACAGCTTTATCATGGAATGACTAACATGGAACACTATTTTGCCACTAAAATATATGCTGTTGATAA